CTTTCAAGGTTGTATTTCAGAGCACGTGTATTATGAGCCAAAATGGTTTCTTTTTTTTGTTCTTAAACCGCTTTCTCTTATTGTTCAACGAAGTCCTTATTATTGCCATTTTTCATGTTCTTCGAGAGATCATTTTCATTGCTGCTGCTGCTGAAAGCTGTCAAATTTTCCGTAGTAGTACTGGAACTTTGCTGTTCTTGAATAGAATCCTCATCATTGATGCTGGGGTCTTCCGAAGCCCGTTTCCCACCCCAGGGTTGGAATTTGGACCTTTTCCCGCCCCAGGGTTGAAACTTGGAGCGTTTCCCACCCCAGGGTTGAAATTTGGACCGTTNAGAATCCTCATCATTGATGCTGGGGTCTTCCGAAGCCCGTTTCCCACCCCAGGGTTGGAATTTGGACCTTTTCCCGCCCCAGGGTTGAAACTTGGAGCGTTTCCCACCCCAGGGTTGAAATTTGGACCGTTTCCCACCCCAGGGCTGGAACTTGGGACCCCGTTTGCCACCCCAAGGCTGAAATTTGCCAGCTCGTTTCGCCATGATTCGAATCGGTCTGAGTCCGAAAATGTTTCGTCCGGTAGCACCGCCGGATGGTCTCCTGTGGACCGTCCAGGCACCACCGAGATGTGGGAGATCCATGGAAAGGTAGACGAGTGGTACTGCCACTGGTGCATCGTCGTCGTCTTGGTCCTTGTTGTTGCTGTGGTCTCCTTTGTTGTCGTCTTCTTCGTTGTGATGGTGATTCTGTGGGTCATCGAGCCAGGCGGGCATTCGGTAAATGCGCTTCTGAGCGACACCTAGGTCTTCCGCTGAGCCGACGGCCTCCCAGAGAGTAGCTGTAGATGTGTAGATGTCACTGCTCTTCACGAGCCACTCAACAAATGTGCATCTCATCGCATATATGCTTTTGAAATTTCGTAATTCCCAGTAAAAGTTACGCATTTGAAGTAAAATTATCCTTTTTGCAGAAAAGTTGGGATATTTTTATGACATTTTATGCCATTGAGCATTGAAAATCAAAAATTCCTACTCTTGTACCAAAAAGGCCCAATAAGTTGGGAAAATTTTCAATATTTTTTTCTAATTTTCAGAAATTTTTGAATTAAAAATAACGGAAATCCCTCACTGGGTCGTTTTTTCCTGCATTCCTGGCATAGGAATCACATGGGAAAATTGTGAAAACAATAGAAAATCTGCCTCCTGGATTTTTCCTGACTTAGGCTTTCTCAACCTTATTGGAGCATTCCAGTGACCTTGGGTCAAACTGAAATGCATCACCTCCAAAAAAATCCCAACTCTGCTGCACAATGAAAAAGAACCCTCCACCATCCAAGGATTATGCATAAAGTGAATTGCAGCCTCAGTATATGGGTAACTATCAATATTTTGATTTTTTAAAGTATAGTATTCTTCAACAAAAACCATGTTACTTCTGTCAACAAGGCATTTTACTTGGCAGGATTCTGGCATAAGTTTCAAGAATAATACAGTACATTCATATTTTTAAAAAATTTAATTAGTATTCCATGAAATTAAACTTGTGCAGCTGTCAAATTATAAATCTGATAATTTAGTGAATATTTTGAGTTTCAACCAGGATGTTTTCAAAATTTTAGGTCCTCACATTATCAAAGAATATCAAAACAGAAACCTAAAAAGAAAGAAGTATCTCAATGAATACCACAAGGTGTATCACTGGAAAAAAATTGACTGAGATAATACTTTCAGATTATAAAAAATCCAAAGCCTTTGGATTTAAAAAAGTAACATTGATTCCAGGAAATGCAGAAGACTGTACTTCAACTGTCTCATAATTCCAAAGGGTACATATTAAAATTACATGATGAACAGAAACTGCCATTAATTTTGTACACAAATGCTCTTTTCAAACAAAGGCTTATTGATTATGCATAAATATAGCAAACACTTGATGGCACATATTTCAGCTCAACTTTAAGCAATTAAATCATAATATTTTCAAAAAATTGCAAAAACTCACCATCGTTTGTTGATGAATTTTCTTCAGGAACAAAGAAAGCCTGGTTTTCGGGAAGAATAGCAAAGAGACATAAAATGGCACCCGCCATTGCCACTTCTTTCGCAGTGGCCATCTTGACCTCTTTCCCACCTTTTCGACGAAATATTTACTTTTTTTGCTGCCGGGTGACCTTCGCCAAACAAAACAAAAAACAATTGATGTTTTTCTGATAAGGTAAAGATAAATTAATTTCCATAAAATAATCGACAAAAATTATTTGTCTTTCACGTGGACGACGACGACGCTTGGAATGCAGAAAACCTCACGGAATATTGCTTGCGCCAATTTTTTTTATGAGTGCTGGGGGGAATTTGAAATTAAACAGACTTGATATGCATATATATATATATAACGGGAAAATGCTCATCAGGAATCTGCACAGGCCGAGGCGATCGCAGCTCCTTTTTATACGCAAAAATGCATCTCGCCCCCCCCCCTTGACATATCAGCGCAAACTCATTAGGTTCCTCATCCATCCAAACCCCCCTGATGCAAAGCCTTCAGCACCCCTCACCTCAGGTGTGTGGTTTGCCAAAAAAAGAAAAATAGAGAAAAGAAGGGAGAAAATGCTGACTAAAATTAGCCCAATGCGTGGAACGGAACAGGGAAACAGCATCAGAGTCTGGAGAGAGGAAAAGGCTTGTGGCTCATGTTGATGAATTGATCGATTGATCGTCATCCCGGCCCGCTGCTGATGATGATGATGATGCTGATCACACCCCCGGGAATTTCCTTCTTTCCGTGAAAATAAATTCCCTCTTGCACGTGCTGGGGTTCACCTGGTATTCATGAAAGGTTATTTTACGTTTGTGGGACTTTTTTTTTTACTTCTTGTATCAACAGATTCAACACTGATGATGATGATGATGATGTTGTGGAGAGAATAGGCTGAGAAAAACCCAGTGAAGATTTTTTTTGTGGGTGGGATACTTTTTAATCACAATAAAAGTTTGGAGAACAGGAGAAAAATTCCTGAAGATTTTAAATCTCATTTGTGATATTATGATGCTGTAGCTATTTTGACAAATTCATGGCACTTCAGTAAAAAATTCATCCAATTTTCGAAAGTGTCAATGTGGTGTAACTCCTGCAGCATAAAGACATTAGTTTGTGCATTACCAGAACACCTTCTCTTCTTATGTACAGCATTTCATATTGATAGAAACAAGCTTTAGAAAGATTTACAAGTATTGGAATTCAATGAAGAGATCCTTTCTGAAATCTTAACCCTTCTGCGGCTAAGTCGGACTTCTTTTTGCAGATTTTTGTGCCACTCCAGAGTGGAATTTAAAAAAAACCTCAACAGTGTGTGCAGGGCAAAGTCGGGAAAAATCCTGGCATTTTTTAAATTTTCCACAGAAAAATTTCACCTGAAAATAAAAAAATGAAAGCTTCAAGGCTCCCCTTTTTTCCCTGGCCTTGTGTTGTTTCCCCATTCAAAGATTAAATTTAAGCTTGAAAGCCAGGAGCCCAGGCTGGAGGTCAATACGGAAAAAGTCTGACTCAGGACTTTCCCAGCATTTCATTATCCCTGGAAAAAATCCGACTTCGCCCTCCTCCACCTGGCAGGGGTTGCATAACCTTGTGCAAAAATATAATGCACACCCATCAGGAAAAATTCCAACTTAGCCCTGGGATGGAAAGGAGGCTGCCGCCGTCCAAGGGTTAAAGGATCAAGATAAACTGTTTGCCTTATATGATTTCTCATCAAAGATTCTCTCAAATTTGTTCATTCAACTAAACCTCATACAGAAACAAGCTGAAGACCTTGTGCTTTAAATTAATTTTACATATATTTTGTTTCCCATGTCAGGGAATGAATGGGTGTATGCAAACTATGCATACATGTCAGATGTCCAGTTGTATTTCATGGATTGTATTTTCTTCTATTTTTGTTATCAATTTGTGCTCTGTTTCCTGCACTGAAGTGATTAAATGTCATTGAGTGGATTTTGGTTGGGTGGGAAGGGGGTTTGGTTGTGGAAATCTTGATTGAACCTTGTGAATGCTGAANTAGTTAAAAAAAAGCTGTGTTTTTGTTACTTTAATGCTTTTAAATTATGTTTATCCCAAATAAAGTGTTCTGTTCATTCATTCATATTACATGTAAATTATCATAATTATGTACTATGTAAGCATGTCATTCTTGTAATATATAGCAGTACATTTTGTACTGCTATAAGATAGCAGTACATCTTTTTTCCTAAGCAGAACAACAAATAAAAAGAGAGTAGGGATTCTATTCTAACAATGAAGGTTGTGGGTAGACTACTTTCTTTATTTACAATAAAAGTTTGGAGAACAGGAGAAAGAATCCTGAAGATTTTAAATCTCATTTGTGAATAAAAAGTAGTCTACCCACAACCTTCATTGTTAAAATAGAATCACTACTCTCTTTTTTATTTGTTTTTCCACTTAGGAAAAAAGATGCACTGCTATATATTACTAGAATTACAAAACTGCTACATACTATATTGTATTCTAATCCCCTTGAATATATGATTTTGGACACAAAGTGGCTGTCATAGATCATAGGCAATTCATTTTGAGAGAATTTTGAATCATCAGAAACTTTATCTGGGATAAACATAATTTAAAAGCATTAAAGTAACAAAAACACAGCTTTTTTTTAACTATTCCATGCAGAGTTCGACTATTCTAAATCTTCATTATTTCCTTGTCCCTGTTATTTTGTTGTCCCCAGAAAGCAACTGTACATCATAGGACTACCTGAAATAATCTGGTTTGTTTTTCTCCAAGGTTTCTGCGCAAGTAGGTTTGTCATTCATCAATTGATTGATCGCATGCATCATTAATTTTGGCAGATTGAGAAAAAACCCCTTCCATCAATTTTCTGTCATTCCGCCCACGCATCACAAATCAGGTCATCTGTACGTTATCCAGTCTTTGGTCAATTTTGAAAATAAATTGGGAAAAAATGAATGAAATCAAGCGATTCAACATTTTCGGACTTCCGCAATTTCCCAGAAATTCGTCGTGGTATTTATTGCAACATGTGCTTCATTTTCAGCGACATATTCAGAGGCATTAAACCCGAGCAAAAGCACAAAAAACACGGTCTAAGAAGAGTTTGACATTATTGCGGAAAGAATTTACGTCCTCTTTTTCGCAGTTGCAAATATTTCAAAGAGGTTTCTGTTTTGCAAGGAAACACTTCGAGCCGAGTTTCGGTTTCAACAGGGAGCAGATTTCTTCTGTTTCGCCATTTTTTTTTCTTTTGCTTTTGTTTTCTTGGGTCACGAGGATGAGAAATGAATTGGGGTTTGAGGGGTAATCCGGTTCTGACCCTGTTTTGGTAATTTGGCAGAGTGTCGAAGCCAGCACTGATTTGGCGAGAGTTGCTATAATTCAGTTGTCCGGCAAAGCGCGTTTGAAGAACCTGGGACGTTTGCCTCTGCTGCTGATTTCTTCCGCAAAAACTTGATCGCCATTGAGTTCATCTCCCCTGATGATGAATCAAGAATAATAAAAAAACATTCATATGGTAGACATTCTCTCTCACTCTCTCATCACCTGACTGGCTTTAAAATTGGAAATATTAACACGTAATGCTTTTGCATATTTTTATCTTCAATACTTACTGAAATTCAATGAAGAGACACTTTCTGAAATCTTAAAGGATCAAGATACATAAGTTGGGTTGGGTGGGGGGGGTTTGGATGCGGGAGTCTTGGTTGTGCCTTGTGAACACTGAAAAGCGGCAATTAAAGTTTTCTGTTCATTCATTCATTCAATACTTTTGTAATATCCAATTAGGAGAGTGCATTTATTGTCATCATAAAATTAATCAAGCAATTGGGCCTGGGATATTAAAGAAGCCACTTATGGGAAAAAAGAATATATATAGGCTCTATTCAGAAATCAAAATCCAGTTTGTATCACTTGTGCAAATAAATTTTGCTGAACTTGGGAACTCCTTTTATGCAGGTGGTGCCTTGCAAGCCAACCATGACCCCACAATTTGACAGTAAACATTTCCTGGGAGATTGACTTGCAATTTGACCTCTTCCCTGCAATTCAACCCACAGCATAAAAATGCAAAACATCAAATACAATGTAGGAAAAATATTGAATTCACCCTACTTGTAATGCAATTTGAATGCTTCAAAATTCAACCCTTTCCCATGCAATAGACTGGGTTCAAATTGTGTGGCACCATCTGTATTGGAAAGATCTCTGAAGTAATTGAAATAAATTTTTTAATCAAAAGCCTTTTTTGGAATATTTTTTAAGATATTCACTGCCTTGCCCTAAGTTGATTGCATTGCTCTGATATTCCTTTTCATCCACTTTTGCTAATTTTGGCCAAAAATGTAGACTATAATGAATCTGTTATTTACCTTGCTTTAGCTCTGTTGAAAGCCCAGATGGGATCATCCTGGTAAGCAACACCAGCAGACAGCTCTTTGACTGCTTGCACAGCAGCACAGAAGGCTTCAAGACTGGACACCCTTCCACCAGATGGCGCTAACGCATCCCCTACAATTGAAGACATTTGCTTGCTGCTGATGGCTCCATTTTCATGCTTGTTGGGCAACATACTGCTGTAGATGGTTGTAGAGGACACCAACAGTAACATGGCCAGAGTTGCCAAAGAACTTGGCAAATTATTGACTTGCTTAGCAGCCATCATCCTGTCCCAATCAATATCTGTGATTTTTTTCTTTTTTTTTAAAACAATAAAAAATAAGAAGTCAATTACCTCCAATTTTGAGACAATTCAAACAGTGAAGTTCATTTTCTCATAACATAAATGGGAACTAATTTTTTCAGGGAAACCTCACTTGAAAAATATTTCATGCTCGTTTCATTTCATAGAAACTAGGTGACCAACAAAAAATATTTCCATTCAAAATAATGTGGGGTTTCTAGAGAAAAAAATATTATTGTTGGGAAAATGTCTTCCATTGTGGCTTTTTCAGATCTCACTTGAAATTTTATTAAATATTTGCCATCCAGATAAAGTTAAAAAGATGTTCTATAATATGTGAAAAAGACTCACTGTTGGGAGATAAAACTGCAGTTGTTTGCTGAACAAGTATGGAATTGTGCACTGGGTCCACAGCAGGACCATCCCCAGGTTTTATACCCTGACTACAGAAAGGAAGAAAGTAGAGTAGATCAAATGAGAAGAGAAAAAAGCAAGTGTTTTTTTTCCTTTTTCTTGTTTTTGTGTATGTGTTTGTCCTTTTTCTGGGCCTATTTTGTTGGCGTTGTGCAGCTAATTCCAGGAGCAAATCTGTTCAGTAACTCAATAAGAGGACAGGACACAAGCTGCAGCAGCTTGTGTGCCTTGTGTGGGACAGTATCTGTTTATTTTTATCTCACTGTATTGTTCATGAATACAAGTTCCATTTTATCAGCTTTAAGAATTCATTTAAAATTTCAGAATAAAACAAAAGTAGGGCCTTCATCAAATAAATTGGAATATTTCAAGAAGGCGAGTTTCAAATAATTTTCATCAGTTTGTAAAATGAATCCTCTGCTTAAATCCCTCAGACCGTGACAAACACGAAGAGAAAAAAAAATACTTGAAATTTTTGTATTATTTTATAATAAAAGGAATGCAGAAACACAATATCGCAAGGCAATCAGCAGGTTTGTGACAAAGAATGTGCATTATACAATAGCAGCATAATTTTTTTCATTCTATTCTACATGCATTCTAATTTTCTTTCCTTGTACAAATCAGTAAATGAACAAATCAGAACAAAAGAAGAATCCACACATTTAATTTAATGCAGAATCAAAGACAAGTAAACATTACATGATTACACCATTCATGTTTTATTTCTTTTATAATTACTGCCAAACCGTTTTTGAAAGATTCAAAATTTTTACTGTCTACTTGATGATGGTTAATTTTCTTCAAGAAGTTTTTGCCAGAACAAAGTCTTGTTTGTGTTTGGGCCTGAATCATTGATAAGCAAGTGATGAAACTCAAATTGAATTTTATTTTTGTGAGGTTCCAATTCCTGCAGCCATATTTAAATGTAATATCATGGAATCAACAAAACCTTGCAAATTCATGCAGTTAGACTCTCTCTACTTGTCTTCCACTCTTTTCTCTGTTCAAGAATTATTTTTTAAGTCCCATATATGGGTTTGCATTTACCCATTACATATATTTTATATATGGGGGTCTTTACAATGAAATTCTCTCTAAAACAGATTCTGTCTAGTCTTTTGAAATCCATTGCAGAGGTAGCCCACCTGTATTTATCCCTGAAGAAGTAAAATACAGCAGTACTGTGTATATACAAAAATATGCAAATGATCAACACCTTAATAATTGGTTGTGAATCTTTTATTTGCTAAAAAATCATTCACCCTCAGGTAAGAACCCCACTTCCAAATTTCACAATAAATTTGGGCATAAATTATTGCTCAAGTAAGAGTTGTGTGACTTTTGCAACATGTCGAATTTTTGTGATTAAAATTTTGCAATATTTAGAGAAAAACTATCATAATTTCAACTTTGAATTAAAAGGAATGTGATGGATTCTTTAAAATACAGATTGTTGAATATTTTTGCATTAAATGTGTATACAGGTGACTTAAAGAATGAAAAGCACTTCAATTTTAAAAAGTTGGTAAACTTTAACCCATGCAACTGTGCATTTCTTTGTATCCTAGTTTTGAAATAAAAGTGTGCATGGTTTGACTTCTGGTGCCTGTTGCAGGTTGACTAGATGTTGCCCAAGGCATGAGCCATGTGCCACAACCACAAGTCAAATAGATGTTGCTTACAAAGAACAAAACAGAAACATTATTTAACAACAATTGAATAAACACCTTGCCAACAAAATCTTCATAAAGATAAAGCCTGTATGAAGTATTCCCCAAGGATGAAAACAGGACCTGAATCACCCTCATCAAAGGGAATAATTAAGAATTACTAACAGGACCCTTCATCATCAACCTTTCAGGAAACTTTCCGCCAGAGTGGCCCTGAAGCTGAATCAAAATAATTTCTTTGTCACTGAGGTCTCAGGGTCTCTTTATCCAATAACTTGAGTTATTGTAGTTATTGGATTGTCTGACGGCGGTTATTGCTTATGCGAGCTCTGTTTGGCTGATTGCCATTTAAGGTGTGTGTCTAAAAGTCCTGTATCATCCTTCTGCGGTTCCCCTGTGGTCTGAATAAAAGTGTGCTACTTCTAAGGGACTCCCATATGGAGGATCCGGCCGTTAACCCTTGGACAGCAAAGGGTTCTTTCCCATTGCCGGCCAAAATTGGATTATTCTCATATGCTAAGGCGTTTTAATTTTTCTGAAGGTCAGAAAAGACCTTCCAGGTGGGCTGAGGCAAAGTCAGGATTAATCCGATGAAAAGCCCATTGCTTAGCATAGCATTTTTTTCATTTTCCCATGAAATTTTTCTGTACAAAAAGAAAAAAACATTGGATTTTTCCCCGACTTTGTCCTCAAATCCCTGTTGTCCTTTCTTTATTTTCTGCCCTGAGGTGCAACAAAATTTTGCGAAAACAGTCCGACTTCGCCACCCAAGGGTTAAAGGCTGTGTACCTGTGTTCATTCTTTCCATCTAATTCTTTGTTGTAATTGGCCCTACACCCCTGACAGTACCCACATGAATATAGTACCTGATTGCCCCAAAATGTTGCAACCTTCAGTTTATCTTTTTTTTTTTTATCCAGCTTATTCTTAAATTTTTTCTAAACATGTTTTTGGTGCAAGTGAAACTTCTTGATGACCTGTACAAGGGATAAAATACCCTGAAGATAGTCTCTTATGCCATAATTTCCCTATTTGGGATTAGATTATCCCACCTGCGATGCTTGGAAGGTGCGGGGGTAATCTGGGCGATTGGAAACGCATTGATCCTCGACCCTGGGATAGACTCCTTGAATGCAGGATGTCCTGCGAAAATTAGCCCTTTTTTTGTGTGTCGCGAACTCCTACATGTCTGATATAAGGAGCTTTTTCTTTTCGTTTTTTTTTTTGGCACACATTTATTTTTGCAGGAAGACGGGTTGATGCTTTGGTTTTTTTTTTCTTGCGAATTGCGGCGAGGGCGGGAATTGCTGATCAATTCCCGACGAAGTTGGTGGATTGTTTTTTATTATTATTATTCTGGATTATATTGGGATAAAGGCGCATTATTTTAGAACTTGGGAAATTACTTTTTTATTACATTTTGAGGATTGTGATTTGCGTGTTCTGAAAATACATTTTCAATTGGTCCAGTTTGCGAATTTTCAGGATGCCTCACGTAAAATAACTGATTTCATTGTATCATTCATCTTAGTGTTGCAGCATTGACTTGTTTTTCAAATATTAGGCATAAAATCAGGAAAATAAAAAATAAAAAAAAAATATATATATATACAGGAGCCTAACGAAATTAATTTTAATTTGAGGAATGAATAAAATCTCATATTCTGTGGTTTTAGGTCCCTAATGGAATAAAAAAATAGGAATTTTTTGGAATTTTACAAAGAATATTTTTTCCATTTTTTGGAATAGAAGAATATTTCTTTTAGGTCCAGGAAACAAAGATTTTCTTGTTTTATGCATTTTTTTTATTGATAATGCTCCAAAATGTGAGGATTGGAGGTGTAATGTTGAACTGGCTTTCAGAAATGGTAAAAGAAAATCGTGAGCTTTTTCTCAATCCAATCATTTTTATTTCAGATGGCAAACGATAATTTTTGAATCAAAAATCAACTTAAAAAACCCTCCAGCAAGTCCCTTTTCAAAAATGTTTTTAACAATTCCAAAGGATAAAACTAATGACTAATGCCTATGATCAAAGTCTCTGTTTGATTTCAACCTGCTCAAGGATTGAGCTCTAGAAAGAACTCCAGGTTTGGGTGCCAATAATTCATCATCACTGCTGTTGCCAACTCTAGACACAGAGTCCTTTGCATTCCACACTGCCAATAAGTCAGCAAAAGACAACTTGGTTCCTTCTGCTGCTGCTGCTGGAACTTGTTGTGGGTGTTGCTTTTCAGATAAATCCCTCATGGAACAACTTCTTTGAGAAGGTTCAATGCTCTTGCTCAAGGCTTCAAATCTAGAAGATAAAGCTCTAACTGTTGGTGACACTTGTGATGCTGATTGAGTCTCTTCTGGGTGCTCTTCCAGCAGCGCCCTCTGGCGAATAAGTTTGGGTTTTGCGGCTTCGTCCCTGGGTTTGCTGATTTCTCGGCTTGGTGGCGCTGCGTGAATTCCTTCTGTTGCTGACGGAGGAGGAGGAGGTGTTGGTGGTGGTGGTGGGACATTTGGTGGAACATACGAGACATCAATAACCGGTTCACTTTCAGGCTCTGTTGTGTTCAAAAGGCTTTTAGAATGCAGAGCAGCGACGACAATGTTGCTGAGCGCAGGACTGCGCCATAACTGACGAGACGGTGTCGCTTCTGGCTTGGGAGCCATGGGAGCGACATCTAGGAACTCGTCTTGCAGCTCATCTAAACTTAGTGTCGTATGATTCTGTAACAGTGTCGCGCTGCTGTTTCTCGTCAACCGTTCGTCATGCTGATCATCATCATCATCGTCGTCAGGAATGACATCATCATCAGCGCTGGTTGTTGAATCCACTCTGTTTAGCGCAATCATTGTGTCTCTCAAATATGTCAATTTGTCATTTTGTTTCGAAAGTTTTCGCGTAAGCGGAGCATTTTGCTGTTGTCTGATGCTGTTTGCTTGAACGTGTACTTCCTCGTCGCTTAGAGACAGTGAAACAGAACGAATCGGTTTTCGGTTCTCTGATAATTTGAGGACTAGTTCAGCTGGGTTGATTTCTTCTTCTCTTGGATCCAATTCCTGAAAGTATTTTTTACCAATTTTATTGTTATATATTCTTCAGAAACATAGAAAAGACTTCAAAAATGAACACCTTTGAGTAAAATCAAGCCTGGGGACAGTTTGAGGAAATAAATATAAGCATAGCAAACCAATGAGTATGATCATCACAACTTCTCTTCAAACTTATGCAATTAGGTTTCAAAAAAGCAACAACAATAAACAATTCAAAGCCAAGGCGATCTCAGATTTTTTCCACAAGTCCCATTCCTTCACTAATTTTTGTGAGGAAGGCCAACTATCTTGTTCAAAATACAAAATCTGTAATTTGAGCATCATTTTAAAAATATTTTTAAAATTAGGATCCCCACAGTTTTCATTGAAAATAATCCCATCTGATATGGTGTTTTTTTTTTAAATAAGATCTGGCCATTAAATATACTGTATAAGCTCTACAAATATTTAATAACCCCTACATTTATCTCTGGCAGTTATTATGTAGATTTAAAATAATCTTCCAGTACCTTACTGTTTGCTGTATATGTATATACAGTCAACCCCCGTCTAACGGACTTGATTTGTGCAAGGGACGAGTCTAAAAAATCCCTTACACGGGAGGTCTGTTAGGCGGGGGGCCACTGTATTTGATGCTATTAATTTTTCAAATCAAATATGCATCCTTGGTGATGATCCTCTCATTTTATGCAACTGTTATTTTGCCATTGATCTGTCACATAAGTTCCATTAAATAATATTTTATATCTTTAAAAAATGCAGGACATATTCCAATCCAGCATTTTCTCATCATTTCATTCTACTATATGAGAGAGACATTAATAGCATTATCACATTTAACCTCATATATACATAACCAATACTGACTGCTGAAAAAAATAGATTCAATATCTGTGTAAAATATGAGGAATTACTCTGTTATCAATTTAGTTTATAAATAGACATGAATCTAAATTGTAAATGCAAGCACAAAGCAGTAACTGTTTGAATAACCTAAAAGTGTAAGGATGCACAAGAAAATCAAATCTCAACTGCAGCACTGTACTCACAAGCTGTTGTTGTCCAAGAAAAACAGTTCTCCTCAAGACCCTCTTGCCTCTCACAGGTCTGACAAAAAAGGCCTTATTAGAGCCACCCAAAAGTCCTTCAGCAGATATTTTTCTCGGGTCTTCAGCTGATGAATTCTCCATTGAGCGCCTTCTGAGAACTAAACTTTCTTCACTGCATTGCCTGTTCATGACCCTTTGAGGAGCTTTAGTATTCAAAATAGGCATTTCTGTGTTTTCTGAAGTGGAAGATGGTCGCATTCGTGCAAGGAGCAGGGTCAAGTTGTTCTTTTTGCGCTGACGCTGAGTAGATGGGGGCACTGCGCTGTCACTGTCTGCCTCTTGTTGGAGTTTTAGTAAACGCGACGCTCTGCTTTGAAAAATACAAGATAGATGTCGTTACTCTTGAGTGAATGCATACAAATAATTTTTCTTCGTGGAAAAAACTCACTTCGCAAGGTCAGCCCGGGTTGCATAGATATCCGCACTGCTCAAAACATTTCTTTGAGCCTTGAATCGCTCACGCCTTTTGGCTGTTGCTGGATCCACAGGAAAAGATTTATTGCTCATGACAGCACAACTTTGATTTCTGCGCAAGTAGAAGTCTGCTCCCTTTGAACTTGCGGCCTGCAGCAGGATCAATTCAAGTTCCCCTTGGACTTATTTGAAATCGTCGATGACTTTTCAAAGGTCTTAGGGATTTTTCATCATCAAACGCATTACTTTTTTTAATGATCCAGTAATTACTGAGCGGTCATCGACAAAGTCAGGACGGACGCTTTCAATTCGATAATTTAACTGTACAGTTCTGTACTTTGAAATTCGATGGGGTATAGTACATTATTTTTTATGAAGTGCAGTTTCAGAATTAACTTCGCACAAGTATTTTTTTTTCAAAGTAAATGGGTTTAAAGCATGAATTAACCACTTCAACTATGGAAAGACCACCAATGATTCGTGTTTGTATGACTATACTATTGCTTCGGATTCTGAATCATATATACTGTATAGTTCTCACCTTCCCTACCGAAGTCGTTGCCGCGGCAGAGCAGCGTACACGGAATGGGCTTCCGGCGATGTGACGTCCTCCCCAGAATAGAGAAACGGTGTGTTCCCCTGAACTTTGAGGTGTGTAACGAAAGACGACGCATCTGCTCAGGATTTCGTACTCATACGGTATGCTCGAGAGACAAATTGCGGCTGAGTGACGACAAAGCGGTGGTTTTGTGGGCTTGCTGATGGATGAAGCTTTGGGAGAGTCGAGATCTTCCATGCTAGAGAAGGTCCTGCGGCGCCAGAGTGACGCTAAATGTGCGTCCGATGTGCAACTTCTGTTGAAGAAATACCGTACCATCAGGATTTAGAAAGGCCATAGCTGTGATCAGAAAAAAATTTATTGAATGTTCTCGCTGTGCCTTCCTCAATTTTCCGGAATTCGTGGAGATTTAAGAGCGTGCGCGATACGGTGACGAATCATCTGCATGAGTTTTATTTTTCTTCCTCGTAGTTTCAACAAAGCTGATTGATGGAATTAACTGGCAGCGACAGATATACGCGATTTAAATGATCTATGATTATTTTGTAAAATCCTTCCATTACGTATGGACTTCCTGCTTTCCATCTTGACGTGATCGACATCCACGATCACTATATATATACAAGATTTATCTGGGAATTTCAGCCTACCTTTATTTCTGAATTTTCTGGAGGGGATTGTATATTCTTTGGGTTAGGAAATGCTATCACCGTGCAGAAGGGAAAAATACATTTAGCATTCCTATATTTCATTTTATGCTACGTGTGGTGCAAAAAGATGCGAAGTTGAAACATACTGACAATATCCGGCATCTCTGGCTGGCCTTTGCCGAGGGGATCGTCGAGTCAAGTGCTCAGTGCAGAAATTCTCCCGGGGTCCTTTAATGTCCACCACTAGGTCCATGATCCTCGCAAAATCTCCTCCGGTGCAAGGAGAGCAGCTCACAGCAGGCGTGACAACTGTTGGAGATGGTTTCTCAGGTTGTCCACTGCCGTGAGGTGGAGTGACGAACCAGGAGAATTGCTGGCTACCGCAATCCGAAGCTGAGCCGCAGTATCTGATGTTGAATTCGGCTTTGCGGAATTGTTGGGCATGCTTGAGACCCGGTCCTTCTGCTTTGACCTCATATGGAGGCGGGGAAGGGCCTGTGCTCGATTGACGAGAAAGCTGTAATAATTGAGATATCTGAAATACTTTTACTTCGAACCTAACCAAGTGAGTGAGTGGCAACGGACTCTGAAGAACGTGTATATATCAATATGCTTCACAGGTATTGTGATTTGATCTTCATGAAAAACCTGCAAAATTTTTGTGCATTTCTTCTCTCATCGATCAAGTGTTGTAAAACATTCAAATATTTCTTGCTAGGTATATAAAGCAATCCACTTTTTCATTTTGCATGTCTTCCGTTCTTTATTTGACATGACAGCATGTCACAGTGAATCTTCTCCTTCTGCAAAATCATGATGAGATTGTCTGCGATCCACGTCTCAATGTGATCCCTGATTGATTTTTTATGAGATTTTGGGATCATTACTGTTAATTTAACCCCGCAGGCGATGATCAGAAGATTGATCGCATTTTCCTTTTTAAGAGATCCTTCGAGATTTAAGCGCACTGACACGATTTATGAATCTACATATGTTCGGAGATTAAACTAACCTGAGGCTTAAGAAACGGGACAGACACTTCAAGAAGGGCTTGAGCGGCTTCCGACTGTTTCTTGGCATCCACTAAAGCCGAATCACTGGTCCTGCGTCTCATTTCGCCATTCGCCAATGAACTCAAGTCCGCCAAAAGATCATCTCCTAGCAGAAACTGTGACACAGTGTGACGCTTTTGCATTTTTGCGCCGAATTCCCCGGACTGATCGTTATTGCTTTGAATAGAAGATCTTTGTGAAGATGAGTCTTGCGCTGCGGAGATTTGTTGTTGTATGATGACGGCCTTTGCTTGCAGGTCGGATAAGAAGTTTCTGAAGCAACGCTTTGCTTTGATGCCAGAGAGGGATTTACATTTCAGCTGCCTGAAGTCGTCCACATCCATTTCCTGAGGAAATACAGATTTTCCTGACTGACGCTGACGGACAATCAATGATGGAGGCATCGCATAACGGATTTTTGCACGATGATTTTGGACTACCACCTATATTCGTGCTTCAGATAATGGACCCTACTTTTAACGATGAACAGCAGGCATTCTGAGTGATATCGTAGATTCTTGAAAAAACTAGCATTGCTCACGTTGATAAAAGCTTTTCAATATTCCTGATCTGTATTCTTGGCAATTTTCAAAGTACAGTATTATTAATTAATTCCGTAAGGAAATTTATCCAAGAGATGTGGAATGGATTTGACATTTTATTCTCGACTGATGAAGTGGCACAAATTCTGCTGAAACATCAATTTTCATTTGCTGTGGCCAATTAAGTAAGTAGAAGTACTGAAACGCAAGAATGAGGCTTCACATCAAGAACAACACGATTCTAAATAATTTTCTTGAAAATTTTGGAAACACGGTATTTATTCAGGTTCGATGCCTGTGGCACAAAAAACAATGATTTGGAAAAATTGAGTTTTCGGATAACGCGAACATGAGGTTTCAGCTGAGTCATCGTTGAAATGCTTCTGTACTCGTTCAGCGGAAAAAGTGTGTTAAAGTTTGCCTGTGATGAACTCATTTTTTCGTTGGGAGAACGTTTTTAAAATGAAAATAATGACGGCGGCTCGTTTGGAATACATTTTTCCAGTCAGAGAATTCAAGAAAAGAATCGTTCATTTTATTGCTTCTTTATATTCATTTTCCTCTTGAACGTGAGAACTTCATTCTCTCTAGAGATATTAGACAAGTGTTCGTGAGTCCATTCAGACGACCGCGAAACTTACAATTTGTAAATGGACAAAGATGGCTTGAAATATTATTCACTCACTGGTTTTCTGCCCAGAAACCTTTTGGCGAGCTTCAAAGCAAGTGCAACATTTGATGTGTGTTGTGTGGAATCCAGCAAGTCCGGTCTTGGACATGATCCAGGGATTAAAACATTCATCAATCTGTTGAAATTGTGGAATTTTAACATCACACGTGGAATCAGCTGATCTATAACGGATTTTTTTTATTTTTAAGGTAAATATATTACACTAATACAGCATGCTCATTTGGGGTGGTCCATAATTTGTGAGGCTAATGCTAATTGAAATTTTAGTTGACATGATTTTTCACGTGCTGAAATAGCCGTCAGTCACATATGAACTTCTTGTTCAGGAATGTATCAGCATTGGTCTATTAAATGTTTGTTCCTGAGATTTTAAGGTAAAAAAAATCCTTATTTGAGTCATCGATTTCAACAAGAAAAAATTATGCTTTGTAATATATTTTCGCATGAGTCCAGGTGGACTCAATCTACAGCAAAAGTCAGGTACCATGAAAAATCATTGTATAACCTAGCTCTGTGCAGTATGATATACTGTAATGATGCTGCCCAACATTTGGCCCATGGGCCAGATCTGGCCTAAAGATACTCTTTGTGTGTGTTACAGTTCCTTCCTTATAATTTTCAAGGTGGCAGCCACCACCGTTCTAAATATATATTGTGAAAGATGACTTTCAAATTTTCAACATTTTGGTACACCCTTCAAAATTTCTATAATGCAGTGTCAATTCTGGTACAATTCATAGAGCTGAAATAAATTTGAAACATATATTTCAATTGGGAACATTTCTAAACTCAAAAATGTTTCATTAATGTGGTTTACAACACCACAATGTCTCTCACTGCAGTATGGTCCCTGATGGTTACCAAAATATTTTTACAGTTGGATTCTTAGTAAAAGAAAATGCAAGGGGCTAGAAAATAATTTGTTCTGGATAGGATTTTATGGTCAACAACTCTCTTGACATGTGGAGAAAACCCACTTGATGGTACCACAAACAAACTTGTCCTACAGATAACATGCTTGTTATATAGTCCACCTGTATTGTGGTTTGTGGCCACATATCTGACTGATCTGAGTTGGGCAGCACAGTTCTGTAGTATGGTATAGAAACCTGGAATAAATGGGACCAAAGAAAACTTTGTTGTACTGTATATATATAGAGAAAAATCATTGTAGAAAATATTTTTATGCAGTGAGAGTTTGTCTACCTGCACAAATTATGTTAGGTGAAGGTCCTTATTTTTTTTACTGGCTCTAATATCATCCATCACTTTGGCTGCACTTTTTTTCCATTTTATACAGAAATCTTGTAGCGTCCTATTTATCATTTTATTACATTATTATGTCCTATATTGCCCCTATTATGTATTATATTACTTGAATATATGAATAATTAGATTACCTATGTTATACTGCTGCTGGTAATAAAACTAATAATGCACCTGCAGGTTAGTCTTCCATCCCACCACAACTGCCCATCCAGGGACAAATTCTGCTCATTGCTTTCATCCTTGCTGCGAAATCCGTCATATCCTCTGGTCCTCCTCATTTTCCCATTCCTTTCCGACCTATTCATGGCCTTGCTCACAGAGCTCAAACGGAGTCCCTTGGCCGCCGCCATGACAGCAGCAGCGGTCTTCCGGCTCTTGGACGACTTATTCCTGCGGCGTCCTGGAGAGAATCTTTTGCGATAAGAAGACCTGCCGACTGGGTCTGACAGGGATGACGAGTCTTCTGAAGTGTCGGTGGAGCCGTCGACGCTGCTGGCACTGGACGCATCGTCGGATTGGTATCCAGGTGCAGGAAGAGAGATGGAGGATAGGTGTCGCTCGTCGACTGATCTGCGACTCGACAGAGTTTCGCGGACCCAGTTGATTAGCTCTTTGTCCGATTTGCAATTTGCCAGATCTGATGATGGAAAGAGAAAAATCTGTGCTTTGCAATTATTTAACGAATTTCTGAAAGTGATTCGCGGATTCTTGAATAAAATCGCAGTTATTATTTGGGTACAGCAATACAGTATAAGTAAAATGTTGAGGGGAACCTTTTGACAATGCTCGTCATCTGTTTTCTGTATCTGAATTCGAGAGCGCATATCTGAGAAACTAAATTTCAGTGATCTGGAGAATTTCCTGATGGAAATTCTTGACAGTATTTTTTTTTTAATTATGTGCGTATACAATATTCTTCAAAAATTCTTCTTTCCAGGATCAGGAAGAAAAATATAGAAGTAGCAATAGGCAGCAATTAATGTTGCTTCAATGTATGCTGTACTGTATACGAATTGCGTTAAATTAATTATATAAACTTTATTTCATATCACATCATAATCTTGAAAATAGGTCATGCATAACAGTACTGTATTTTGAATCACATAAGTCCTTGTTTAGAAAACAGAAACTCTCGATGATTATAAATTGTTTGTTTTGTTGAACACAATGAGGGAGTGTCTTATTGAACATCAAAAATTCATGAATCATGCACATGTACTTGAGACAACATGTGGAATCTGAAGTACAGAATATGAAGGACCTGATATCGAAAGTTATCTGCCCATGAAAACTCTACATTTCAACATTTTTTGTGAAACCCATCTGTATTTCCATTTGCAGGTAATATTTAAATGTTTTTCTTTTGCAAGTTCTTTTTTGTGTGGATCATTTAATGCAGGGATCCCCAACCTATTTGGACCTGCAGACCAGACAATTCCCTTATAAACTTCTATGAATTTTCAAATTTCAGAAAATATCTGAAGACTGGCAAAGTTTCATAATATTTTTGTTGACTCATCAGAAATGTATGACTGAAAGACTTCATGGCAGTTTTAAAAAAGTTTCTACTTTTTTCAAAAATTAAATTGAGGACAAATGAAGCAGCTAATATAGTGGAATGCCTTCAAAAAGTAAGAAGGGGGGATTGAAAAAATGCTTCCCAGGATGAAAAATTGGAATAATTTATTTCAGCAGGTGAAAAATTTGTCTGAAGTGTTATCAGGAGATAAGCCAACTTTTATTTTTCATCAGATAATTTAAACTGTTGTTGTCTTTCCAAAATTTCAGATAAATAATATGAACTTTTTGCTACTTTTGATGAATTCAATTCACTGAACAAAATGTCCTGCGGTCTTGCAAACAACTTTTGTGGATTTGCACTGGTCTGCAGATCACAGGTTGAGTAACACTGGTCTAATTTATCAATACATCAGAAAATAATTGACTGTACAATATATATAAAATTGCTTACCATCCAAAGCAATAGCACACATGACAGTGAAAGAGTTGTTCAACAGGAATCCCCAAAATGACCAGATGAGCGCGTGACACAAATTCAAAATTTCAAAACACGTTGTTTGGAAAAGCCGTTTTGTTTGGCTCCACATATTCAATTTTTTCTTCTTTTCCTCTCCTCCAATCCTGTTGAATAACTGACATCACTTCTCATTTTTATATATGCATATAGACACACACTTCTGGCTATCTTTCTCTCATACAATGTCTTCCTTCAGTGAGGATGAAGCTAAATGGTTTTTCTAAATTTAAACACAGCAAATATTTAGGTGTCCGGGCAACCATCAAAATCTTTAAGATAGGCTCATTATATACAGTGAGACCCCCACATGTGGACGCCTCGACCTGCAGACAATTTGACTTAGGGACACTGTATTTCAAATTAAAAATGACCTGACCTGCGGACACTGACTCAACCTGAGGACATTGAAATTTTCAGAAAATCGAATTTTTCATGCCAAATTCCTAGGAACAGATATTCAGAACCATAGGATGGTAAAATATGTGTGAAAAAATTGTTTTAAAATTCTGTCATCATTTTCCCCTCCATTTAGCTAATTTAAAAAATTACTGCAAGCATAGAGATTCTCAAGGAAGAAGAGATTTCCTTCTCTCTTTTTGTCTAATTTAATTTTTACAGGAAATGCTAACATCCCATTGTTTAATAGTGTACTGAGGTACAGCATTTTTACTTGGATATTTTTCCCTGTATGTTCCTCAAGAAACTGTTGAAAAAATGTTATTCTCAACTTTTTGCTTGACAAAAGCTAAGTTTTATAGGTTCATTTCAATAAGAGGGCTAGATAAAAAAGTGGAAAATTTCCTCTAAGAAGACAAAAACATCTGGAATAATCAGGAATGTGCCAACTGTGAAACTCAACAAAGAAAGCATAAAGATGCCACAGCTGGAGAAGAAAGGAAGAGAAGAGGAAACTTGCTGAATTGATGGTTCTTAACATTCAGCAGTAGCACATAAATTGTGCATTTTTTGAATGCTTTATGTCCTCAATGCTCCAAATTTTATACATGAGTTGAAAAACACTGATTTAAGGATTTTTTTAATCAGTAGAATTTTTTTCCTCAATTTTAAAAAGGAATTTTGATCAATATTTCTTTTGGAAAACACCAATTAAAAATTATATAATGCAAGTCTATGGGAAACAAGACTTGACTTAGGGACATTTTGACTTAGGGACACTCTTGATACACCAATTACGTCTGCATCTCGGGGTCTCACTGTATACAGTACAATTGAAACTTGAAGGTCTGGTGTAATTACTAGTAGCTGTGAAGCATCATCAAGCATGTGACTGAATGCATTATTCAAGCTTGTGCTTGCAACTTTTTTGATATTTTTAATGGTGATCATTCTTGGTCTTGAGTGATTTTAGTACTGCTTGACAAATTTTCCACAGATAGACGCTGGTCTGCAAAAAATTTTTTGCTGGTCCATGAAACAATTTTTCAATAATAAATGTATCAAAGAGTAGCATTAAAGTCTGTTATCTTTGTTTGAAAATGTTGATAGACAATTGCAGCTTAAATTATTTGATGAAAAATATAAGTTGAATTTTCTCTCACTTAGGCTTCAGAAAAATTTTTACCTGCTGAAATAATTTTTTTTTCATTTTGAGAAAACTCTTTTCAAGCCCACCTTTCTTTTTCTTGAAGACATTCCACTAAAGCTGCTTCATTAGCTCTTTGCTTTTTTTTGAGAGAAGGCATGAAGCCTCTCAAACAAAACTTTTCTGAGTCTCCACAAATTTTGTCAAGCTTTGTCAGTATACACAAAACCTTTTATGGAAACTTTCCAGTCCTCAGGCCAAAGCATTTTGGGGAACACTGATACATCAGCTGTCTCTTCAAAAAAAATGATGATTCACACTTCCACACTTCAGTGACTGAATTGCGAACGACGATACGAGAATATACTGAAGCACAATTGAACTGTGAATAACTCCGACGACTTATTTGACTCGCGATTTCTTTTTTCTTCTTCTCTTTTGTTTTTTGTTTTTACACGCCCAGTGATTCGTCCGTGACACGCGAGAAGTGACATATCCACTCATATCGAACAATGTGAGAGAGACAAAGAAAAAAGAGAAATGAAGAGTATAAAGGATTGAATGAATGAATATAAAAAAATAAATAGAAAGAAAGAAAGAGGAAAATCAACGAAGTCGAAAGTGAGCGTCGTCGTCGTCGGCGACGCTTTTGTGACGATTGACGATAGACTACATCGTCGTCGTCGTCGTCGACGCGTGTGTGCTGTGCTTGCTGTGCGTTGGTACCACTGACAGCAGGTGTGAACATCCATCAAACATTCACCTGACCTCGTTATTATTTTATTTGTCGAAATGTTCCTTTCGATTTTTGCTCCTTTTTTTTTACTGCCGGTTTTATATGTTTTCACGCGTTGTGTCACGCGTTTTATGAATATACACGAGAAATATATATATAAAGCTTTGGTGCGCAGGACGAAAATCATTCCTGAAGTTTACAAATGACAGAGTTCAAGAAGTTGAACGTGGAAATTTTTAGAAAATTTAGTCAGTGAAAAAGGAAACAAAATATTTGTGGCGCTTTGAGGGATTTGGTCAATGATTTTCATGATACAGTTGAACCTTGATAAGTTGAACCTCCCTAAGTCAAATTCCTCCCTAAGTCAAATTTTTTTCAAGTCCCTGTCTGAATTCCCTTAAAATCAATGTACAATAGTTACTTGAGTACCACGCACCCTTGAGTAAGGTGCACACAGGGGTTTTTCAGTTGGAAATTTTGCTTTAATCTTATCCTTGAGTAAGACACACACCCCAACTTTTAGTGAATCTGAAGCCACAAAATTTTGAAAATAAGAAAAAAAAATTGACTTTAGACTACATGAATTGAACAAACTGTTTCAGTACAAAAAAGTTTTCTTGTTACATTTGTTCCAAATTTCTCCATTATAATCAAGTATAATGCACACATAACTTCCTAAAATTCTTGGATAACTTTTACCCTCTTATGACGCGCACCCCTTTTATTCTTCTGAAATTTGAGAAAAAAGGTGTGTTTGGTACTCAAGTAAATAAGGTATTGAAAATTTCCCCAACTCAAATTCTTTTTTTCTAAAACCTCCGTAATTGAAATTTTCTGAGGCCTTCTGGTTATTATTTCTGTGAAATATGAAAGAGAAAAATGATTTAAAACAATAATTTGATGCATCTTGAAAGGAATTGAAAGACAAATATAGCAAACGAACCCCTACCTCCAAGTTCAGCACAGTGTAAACTCATCAAGAGACAAGTTTAGGCCCAGAATCTCCTCATTTACAATTTCCCGCAATTTTTTTTACTAATCCTCACAGCAAGAATTATTATTTTTTCCTTAATGCAAAACCTGCAAAAATCAAAACCTCTCTAAGTCAAAACTTCCTCAAGTCAAAATTTTTTTCCTGGTCCCTAGAAATTTTACTTATACAGAGGTTCAACTTATAGCAAAATATCGTTGAACCTCTCCAAGTCAAATTTCAAGGGACCAGAAAAAAATTTTCTTTGGGAGTTTTCCATTTTGGGAGGTTTCTAGTTTAGGAAACTAGAATATTTTTTGTGGGAATAAACATGAAGAATTGCAGAAAATTGTAAATGGTGATATTCTGGGCCTAACAAATTACTTCTTGAATGAGTTCCCTTGAATAATTTTCAGTATTATGGAAATCATCTTGAAAAATGAATTTTTCAAAACCATTACACGTTTTCCTCTGAATCCTGATACAGTGTATTTCGTTTTTAACATCATTGAATCGTCTGACAAAAGATATCTTGAAATTTTTTTCAACTCGTCATCGAAAATGAGATTACAGTATTTCGGTTGCATCATTTTTTATTCTGCTGCGTGAACTTGAAAGGTGAAGTCACTCAATACTTTCTTTTGTTGGCGAAAAGCACGTCACACGGGGAAGAATTTGCGCACTTGCGGAGTACTTGATTCTTCATTGTGTACCAGTACAGTACTTTTTCCAGCATAATTTTCTTTTATATATATGCATAAGGTTGACTTATTTCTATCGTGAAAATTTCATTTTCCTTGAAGATAATCGAACTGAATTCATTGACATTTGGCTTCCTTTCAATTTACATAATACTGCAGAAATGAATCAAAATAAGCGTGGTTTTTATTTCTTTCAAAATTAATTCGACGATTTATTATGAAGAAATTAACGCAATGGAATCGAATGTTTCTGTGCGATTTCTGGAAATAAATTGCGACTTTTGGGGTTTTCAGCCAATCGACTATAATGCTATACTATAGATCTTAAAATTTGAAAAAGGTGTGAATCCGCAAAAATCTTCTGAGATAATTTGGCAATTTAAATTATAGGATTGAATCATTACCGCGTTGGAGAATTGAATACTGTATTTATGTTATCTTTCACACAACGATTTTAGTTTTAGATGCCCTTTTTTTTACTTGAAGAAATGAAATTAATTCTAGTTTTATAGTGATCACCAGCATATACATAACTTGAAAACGATGCAGCAACTTTTCCTAGAATATTTTAAACGACCTTGACCGAAAAAAGTGATTCATGATTTGCAGAAAATTCGTGAGATTGAGAGACGAATTATTTTTATGTTAATTTTAAAGGCCGATGGACTCAAATTCCGCGGTTAAAATATATTTAAAATTCGATCCCATTTTGACTCGATGAACAGAAAGATATTTTTCAAAAATTCCATTCAACCTTTTCTTGAAATTTTAAAATTTGTGCGAAGGTACGCAATCATGTGCCCATTTCATTTTATTTGTACTGTATTTTATATCATTAAATTCATGTGAATGTGAAACATGATATGAGGAAAACGAAGGTACTGTAGAAATGTGAACTCAATCGAAACTAAAATTTTAAAAATTTTATAACTAAATTTTAACCAAAATTTGAGTGTGAAAGGCTCTATTTTACGCACTTCAAAATTACCGAGGTCAAGCTTCAAAAGAACATTAGATTATTTGGAACCAAACCGGAATTTTTGTTCATGAAAAAAAAAGTTGTTAAATGATCGGAGAGGAATTTTCTGCACTTTTTCGGCCAAAGCTTTACACTAAAACTCGATGTCTTATATAGATATAATCAGCAAATAAGTCTTTGGATAGTTT